GGCGAACCGACAGCAGTGCCGTTGCTTTGACCATTTCTTCTCAGATTGCAATGCTTGTGTGTGGGTGTATGCTGTTAGACTATCTACTCTATATGTTGACCATATCTGACTTTCTTGTTTACCCTCCCTCAAAACAGGCCCACTCCCTAGCCACTTTATACAATCGTATTGACCTTGTATAAACTATGGGCTCAAAAGCTATTGGTAAAGTAAGCTTCACCAAATGTTTCTGTACCATATTTACGTATATATTTAACATCAATCTTGAATGTACATACATATATATATGTATATGTAATTTTTCATGGTATCTCGAAGAGCCTCAGTATGGTCAGGGGTGGGCGTCCTTGGTTGTGGACGGTCACCTTTCCCTTCACCTCGGGCAATACTCATATACGTCCAAGCGTCTTCAACGGCCTCTGCGGAGAAAGTTTTGCTCACTGCCTTCTGGTGGCGGAGATTTTTCTACCAAAGTGAGAGGACGACAAGAGAACACCCGGAGCTATTACCTGGTTGGTAAATCACTGACAATGCACCTAGGGGGGGTGGCTAAAAGCATTGATTCCAAACCGTCCAAACGAATCATACACTCCCAAGCCTTGTGGCAGTGGTCGCCATCTTGACTGGGCATCGAGTTGTATTGGGCACCTTGGACGTTTGACCCCGTCCAAAGGGCGTATAATCCGATAAAGTGGACTGCAGTCCCCGAAGGGTTGCGGTGTTCACACTCCACCCTCTGCCTTGCGGGTCAGGCATTGGCTAGTCAGTCTGTGGTTGTGAATTTCTCAAGAAGATTAATCTACTTTAGCCTGGCCAACCTAGCAGTACACACTCAAGAGCAAACGACGGAGCTTTTTATTTATCATAAAGGTTGTGTTGTGATTTGCTTTGCATACAGTTGGATGCGTGTGTGATATTTACTGTAATATATGATGATCATGATGATGAACAGCTAGATCCACCGAATTGCATGTTTAAACGTTCCTGGAAATAAGGGTTACTGCCTTTCAGTACATGTAATCTGAGCGAGTGTTGTGGCTGTTAGCGAATCACACGGATGTTCATAGTTCGAAGTTTAAGCCTCACAATTACCAATCCACTTTGTTGTGATCCGGCTTAAAACCAATCTTTCATGATTCTTCAAGTCCCGAACCCCAAATTGTAGATGTCTATATAAAAGAACAACAGATCCTCATAAGTGTTGGGTTGGATGTTTATCACTCAGATATGTAATGGAAATGTAAAGGGACTCCAGGAATTGATGAGACCACTATCCTTTGGGTTGTTAGTGCTCTCAGTAATTAATAGCTTTTTATTTCCTGTTTCAGCCTCCGTGTTTTATGGCGTATCAATCCCGAGAATTGCTCCAGTTCATCAATCACACCACAGAGGATGTGGATTGCGAGTTTTCAGAAGATGGGGACATTGTTCTATTGAGCGAAAACGGACATGATACGAACCATATATTACCCGAGTCCAACCGATGCCGAAAGCGTACGCACACTCAGGCGTTCCAACCAGATGCAAACTCACCCGAGATTGCTTGTTCCCCTGAGGGTGGAAGGGGTTCGAAGAAAATGACTCGAGGCAAACAGAAAATTCCCATTGAATTCATTCACGATCGGGCCCGTCGCTATTCAACTTTTTCCAAAAGAAAAACCGGTCTCATGAAAAAAGCATCTGAATTGGCACAGTTAACCGGCGCGCAGGTGTTACTGTTGATTGCCTCGGAAACCAAGCACGTTTACACATTCGCCACCGGACTTCTGAAAGATATTGTTAATCTGGACTCCGGAAAGGAACTGATAGAAACCTGTTTAATGGGACCCCGCCGCAATGCGGAAGACGAACCGACTGCGAATAAGCAATCTAAGAGCACTTCCGCAGTGGGTGTAGAAACTGATGATAACATTGAAACACCGAATTTCGCTACTGGGCTCACCGCTGAAGCGACTGATCAGGGAAATCAACAACCTGAACCTGTATATGGGCCGCTGAGTGATCTTTCGGAACATGAGCAGTTACCTTACAACACGAATACAGATGATTATGTAGCTACGGATCTCCATTCGTCCAGTGGTTTCAGTCCTGTCAGACAAGCGAATTCCACAGGCGTTCAAAGTGCACCAGATACTACGCGGTCTAGCCCAGCGACGGTGGCAAACGATGTGAATAATGATGACAGTCCGGATAGGGACAATGAGAATGGGGATTCTCCATCTGCTTCGAGTAATACCCCTGTCACTGAAAAAAATCCGGAGAACAACTGTATTAATTCAAAAAGCAGCGCTTCCAATCCAATTACCAATTCTTTGACCGGGATTTTAATTAATAATTCAACAACTAATTCCATAGACCCAGTTCAACTTGTTTTACTCTCCCATCTCAATCAAGCCCCGATCATTGTGAAGTCTGATGCACCCGTTGTTTTAGGTGGATGTACAGTCACTGAACCTACTGTGTCGAATATTGCCAATACTTCATTTTCGAATGGATCCAATCAGCTCCGTTCACAAACTCCTGTTTGTGTCACTTCTACCTCATGCACGGTCCCCCCTCTACATCGAAGGACGTTGCTTCCAAAGAAGTTCGGTTGACTCTCGCTACTATCATCTATCTGCTCTCATATTCTGATCAAAAAAAGAACATCCAGGGGTCTCCTAATACTCCTACAAATGACAGATGAGAATTCAGGAACGAATGATCATCACTGGTCATACTGTTCTTGTTTGTACACTGCTATAATGCTTCATACTGGGGCCAAAGTTGGGGATAGAGAAAGAAGTATCCTCTTCTCCAATCTTTATCACTGATTTCATTGCACATGTGCTTGCCTCTATTCATCTCTTACCTGCGTTCTTAATTTTCAGCAGAAAAACGCATTATTCTTTTTCTAACGGAGGACTTTTGGATGTGTAACGTTTTCTCCAGGTACCGAGGTTGCGGATTGGTATTCTGATGGCAGAGGCTTGTTGAGGCAAACAAAACATTCATATTTGATAGATAGTAATGTGATGCACCTGTTGGCAAACTACAGTTTTGCTATGTGAGACCAAACGAACCAGTCGTTGGTATGGGTTTCAGATTAATCAATATAAATAAATAAATGTGATGAGCCTTATGCACGGTTCAATAATTAAATAATATAATTTTGCCCTCGCTGTCGTCCAGTCTTCGGGATCAAAAACAAGGTTCCCGGTGGCAGTGTTGTGTGCTAGCAACTAAATTCACATGTTACTGTCCGGTAAAATAAATTAATTCGGGAACGTAAAGGAAGAAAACTTATTTATTGGGGGCGTGGATGTGGTAGTAAAATAGATGTTCCACGCACCAACTCGAGTAGATGGTTATCCAGCCACTACGACCACAGCACCACTGGACTCTTCTGGACACTGTTTGAAGTGCTTCACGTTTTAGGAGCAATCACATGTAGTCAGTAGTGACACTTCTTTACTTCTAGGAAAGGTAAAGGAAAGTGGTACAGTAGATAACGGGACCTGAGAGTCGGAAACATTGGAACCTCAGAATTCGTACTGACAAGTCGAGTATCCGATTCCTCTGGGAGGAATAGTCCACGAGAAATAGGGTTAGCTGCGGTGATCTATCGGAATATCCCTGCTGGTCTGGTAGTGTTGTTTAGTCTCTATCATTTATCCACCCTCACCCATGCCCCTAGTAAGCGGAAAAATACATCAGCGGCTACACCCTAGCAGGCAGGGTTAACCAGGTTGAAGGCTTTTGTATTACTCATGAAGTGGCTTACAGCAAAAGGGGTAACCCCATAATCAATGAAATACTGTAAGAGGAGGTATGTGCGGGAGCATTCAAGTGAGGATCAATTTGTTAATCCTTCTTTTGAAACGAGTAAGGTTATAAGAGCTTGGAAACACGGAGACAGGAAGAGTGTTCCACAATTTCGCAGTCCTCGGAAGAAAATTGAAAGTTAGAGGTTCGACATCTGGAGACAGAAACCTGATAAGAATGACTACCCATCTGAGAACGAGATGGACGAGAGGTCAATGGAAGGGAAACCGTTGAAGCGAGTTCGGAAGAGTAAAAACCAAAATAGTAACGATAGAGAAGAGATAACGAAGCGACTACAGGTTGGAAGTTAACGACGGTTCGTCAATCAGCCGGATGGCCTTACGTTGAACACGGTCAAGGAGAGAAAGAACGGAATACGAAGTTCCACCCCATATGTGACTGCAGTATTCGAGCATCGGGCTGATTTGACCTTTGGCGTCATCAGCAAAGTAGTGGATGGGATTAGAGGTTTTGGACAAAAGTTCGTTGATGAATAGAAGAAAGAGGGTGGGCGAAAGTATGGAAAATTGGGAAACACCGGCGTTTACTGGAAGTGGCCGAGATAGGACCCCATCTACTCGGACGGAGATGGTTCGCTTGCTGAAGAAACACGAGCCACAATACTAGAGACGGGTGGAATCTGAACGTGGGTAATTTCGACAGCAGACCTTCATGTCAAACGCGGTCAAAGGCCTTTGAAATGTGGAGCGAGACCATGTGAGTTTCTCCGTGGTTATCGAGTGCAGTTGGTCAGGAATGTGCTGTGAGCGCCGGTAAGTCACCAGTAGATCGTCCAAGGCGAAATCCATATTGACGGTCATTCAACAAACCTTCGATTTCGAGAAGCGTACGCAGCTGGTCGGAGCAAATGGCTTCAAACACTTTCGAAATTACACATGTAAGAGTGATGGTAGTTGTTGGGGGTCAGAATGATCACCGCACTTCGAGATAGGAAAAATAAGAGCATTTTCCATGTAGTAGTGAAAGATTTAAATCGAATGAAGAACAGAAAAGGCGGCCTAGAACAGGGGTTAACTCCAGGGCACACATTTTTAGGACGATAGGTGGAATTCTTTCCGGACAAGGTGGTTTACAAACATCCAAACCAAAGAGATTTTGGCGAACCTTTTTGATTGTGATGATAAGCAGAAAGGAGTGGCTTAATTTTTAGGAGAGTGGAATACTGAAGTCGGCAGATAAGATGGGGTCGGAGGCAAACCGGGAAGCGAAGACGTCTGCTTTTTCGTGGGGTTCACAAAAGTAAGTCCCAGAGGAATTACAAATGGAAGGAAAGTTGGAAGGGCAGATATTACGTGAAACCGCTTTGGCCAGGGACCAAAATGTTCGGTTACCGGTGGCGTAAGAAGCCAAACGCGCAGCTTTGTAAAAAACAAAAGGTAACCGAAACCTCAAAATTTCTACAGGACGGCGTAAAGAATCCGAAAAGAACTACTGTTTACTGAGTGGACGAGATTAACTGGTTGATCCAGCTAACAGAGATACATTCCCGTCTGATCAATGAGGTCCTAGCGGGCCACCTGGAACCGTTCTAATACACCAATTCCTTTGATTTCTCACTTCGGAGAATGACTTGAACTGACAGGAAGCTTTATAAGGTCGAATTGTTCTCTTCAAGAAGCCAACCATAGTGAAGTCAAACCAACAAAGTTAGTGGGTTCCAAGGCGTATATTTATAAACGGGTCAGTTCAGCTTTTACTACCAATAACGGTACACTTTCGTACGCCGGTTTTGGTAGCTGTCTACTTGGATGAAGGAATAAAGGAGAGATTGGATTTGTATACAGCCAGGAAGCGCAGTAGCAGGCTCCCCATCTAATGTAAACCAGATTTTGCGGATCCCTTAAGTGATCGTATGAATAATAAAACATCAAAAAGCTGAAACAGATCTCGTAATGAATTTGAACGGGCATGTCATGTTTACTCTCACTGAACGCGTACGTACAAACAAATGAAGGGAATTAGGAAATTCGTTTTTTATGGTGTGTTTGTGTATGCCGTGTCACATGACTGGTTANAGTCAGGGTGGGCCAAGGGTAAAGTTCAAGGTATGCACTTGCATGAAAAGGAATTCCTCTCGCGCTGTTTTTCCTCTGACTTGCCTGTTCAAATAAGACCTCAGTCGAAGTGGCAGATAGCAACAAAGAGCATGAGGGCTATGATAAAAAATCTCCATTGATTTTCTCGTCCTGCAGTACCGGCACTCTGTGGCAAGCAAGTGCAGAAGACCCTGTGCTCTACAGTGTGATCTGGTACGTAATCCTCAATAAAACCATTACAAGAGGTATTTTCGTCTTGCAAATGACGGTGACATCTGGTAACCGGGCATTGTGATCCACATTTTCAGAAATCAGTTTCAGTTTTTAAAACCATTAACCATACACTTTCATGCACGGGTTTTGGTTCCTACCTTTTGGCTGCTGATCTCGGGGTCCGAATCCAGGGAGCCTAACGGGATCTATGTGACCCAGTGTCCTGGTTAAGGTTTTCATACCCTCATGCTAGTTCTTAGTTTGACCACCCTTGACCTTTTTTCATTCGCTACCTACCTCGGCAAACATCGCGCGCCGTGGTGACCTATTTCTATTCTGNCGTGGTGACCTATTTCTATTCTGTTCCATTTATGGTCAAGTCTCTGCACTGTAGAGCAGCACATGCTCGACCCTTCACAGACAGTCGGATGTCGCGACGGCGCCGTAGATGTCTCAAGTCGGCAGCTGTCGACCGAGCATTCAGTACGCATGTCGACACTTCACCTGTGATGCGTCCGCCAGGTGAGATATAGCCGTTCATATATAAAAATTTGTGTTCTACTTTTCCAGTCGGAATGAGGTTGAGGTCTAAGCCAATCCAATCTTGTAGCAACATTTTGCACCTTGAAGATGCAAAACGAATATCAAACATAGATACAATATCATTCCAGCTATCCAGAAAAGCTTACAACTTACCTGAATCTTCACTTAGTAGTACAATGTAATTTGCCTACTCCAGGTCAAACAGCTTACCATCTCAGAGCAAATCGATGTCGCCATCCGCGCGTGAGGACGGCTGTTTCCAGAGTTAAATAGAAACGGAGAGACATATCAATCTTGAAGAGCACCACTTTCTTTTGTGAAAAAATGCTTTGGGCTCGTACTCGGCTTCGGCTGTTAGTATAAAGAGATCGATGGACCCCACCTAAGCATTGAATTCTCCAGCGAATACTACGATGTCCGCTGATCTAACAATTTAGAGTAATTGAAAAATATCCTTGTAGGATTCATCCTTGATATTTTGTGTACTGCAATCGGTCGGTGCATACACGGATACGATGAATAAGCATCGACACCTCGTTCTTTAGCTGTTGATCCTCACTGAACCGTTGAGACGTACAGCGCACAGTTGACCGCTGACTAGAATCGAGTGCTCAACCTTAGCACTTAGCTTAATCCCAATAGCAAAAGCGTCGGATGCCGAATCGCCTGACACACGAAGGGTGAAGCGTGAGGTTGGATCAAGAGAACGCGGGGGGGGGGGATAATGGAAGTAGTGTTTTGTATACGTGTTTCGGAGACAGCATACATCTAAATTGAAAGTTTTCTTGTGTTCTGGCTAAGGCAACTTTTTGACCGATCCGATAGAATGTGCGGACATTAAATGCGGCTAAGTGAAAAGGAGATTTCGGTTTCGAAAAATCTAACCTCTTTGCCCGTGTTATGCAACGCTGGAAAAAGCCACCATGATCTAGCATTGGGTTGTGAAAAACTTAAGCATCAGCATGTGCTGGTTTGTTGCA